CATAGGAGGCACTGCCCTTCTCGCACGCTCCCTTTACTGCCACAGCATCCAGAACAGCACCCGAGTGCATCTCCTGGAAAGCCAACCTGCCTTGCCAGAGCCAAAGCAGTATGTCCTCAGTGGTCCCCATCTCCTGGGGGTCCTGCTTATCCCTCCCCTGCAGCCTCCAGCCTTGCTCACTCTGCTTACTTGTGGTAGCTGGTGCAGTGGGCGTAAATGCGGAGCTTGTCGCGAATGACTCTGCCAGGCCGGGGTTTCCTCTGGAGACCAGCCACGTGGATTGCCAGGACCTTAGGACCGATGAGGCGCTTGTAGAGCAGGGACAGCCAGTAGTCCTGGGGGGCAGAGGGGACAGTCAGCAGCACAACGGTCCCCCCGGCTCCCAGCCAGAGCAGGCAGGAGAGGCTGGCTTCCCTGCTTACAGCCTAGCGAAATTTTGGCTGTTAGGTGAAAATGTTGAGTGCCAGATGGCTGCCTTGGGGTGGGGTTTTTTTGCACAGTCTGTGCCAAAATGGCACTGCTGTTTGCAGGAAAGAGATTAAGGGAAGAATACATTACTCTGCCCATGCTGAGAGACACCAATACCCTTTAAAGGAGCTCGGCTTTTGGCTGGGCTGTGGAGCGTGAGGATGCCCTCACATGTTCCCACGGACCTGCACGTAGCCACACCACGGACCTGTGCACCAGCTCCAGCTGAGGCATATGGGATGGTGATGTCCCTGGAGCAGGTAAGTCACCCTCCACCCCGTTCTGTACGTGGGGCTGGAGCACACCAGAGCTCTTCTGTGCTCTCCAGCCCTGTTCATGGCATGCTGGTTTTGGTGACTGCTGCAGGTGCTCCGCTTCCCAGAGGTATTTCTCCTGTTTCAAAGCTTCCCAAGGAGTTAAGCAGCCATGAACATAGTGTGGGGAAGCAAAGCACTCAACAAGTAGGAAACGTTCAGCCCCTGCATACAGGCATTAATGATGCAGCCTTTAATTACGTCACTACATACTACTTTTTCCCGCAGGACACGGCCTCGCTCAGCACACAGGATGGGCCCCAAGTCCCGGGGAGGGAGATGAGGCTGTGCAGTGATGGAGGGCCCCCCCTCATCCGCTGCAGAAGCTAGGAGGTGTGTGGTAAATGAAGCAGGGTTGTGGGAAGGGAAAAAAACGCCCCCCCCTCCCGTTCTGCAGGATGGGGCTCTGGTCCTGCTGCTGCTCTGGGCATCCTGGGTGATGCTGGGGAGATGGAGCCTCTCACGCTGCTTCTCTGGGTACTGCCTGTGGGTGCGCTGGGCACTGCCTGGGTGCTGGGACACCTTTGCACACACGAGCACTCTGGATAAACACCCTCTGTGCAACCCAGACCGGCTGCCACGGAGGGACCGTGTGCCCCGGGGCAACTGGGATGATCCCCCCAACCTGTCAGCAATGTCGGACGCCCAGCAGCGATGGCCATGCTGGCACTAGGGACTGCTCTGCCCGGCAGCATCTGACTCATACAGTGAGGGGAACCTGCTGCGGATATGGAAAAGAGCAATGGATAAAGCAACCTGTGGCTCTACACGCTGCCTAGGGGGGCACTAGGAAAGCCCTGTGTGGTCAGGGTAGTGTCAGGGAGGGGGCTGCCATGGCAGAGGGGCATGGAAGGGGGGAATGGGGTCTCCAGGGCCCCAGGCTACAGGACAGGATGGTCAGGTGTAAGTGAAGATCCCGCACACAGATACAGGTATCCATCCTGTGGGTGGAAAGCCCTCACACTGCCTCCGATTAACTTGAATTTTGGCTGAAGATGCCAGCAGATGAAACACAGAGCAATGCTACAGCTGCAACTGGCATGAAGCGAAAACCCGTTGGCCAGACTGGACTGCTGGTCCCCATTCTCTCTCTAGCTCAGCTCAGCAGAAGCTGACCAGTTTCAGCAGCACTGGGCTGGCCTGGCAAAGGGAGATCCAAACCCACTTCCCACTTTCTGGGTAAGCTTTTGCCACAGTGCTGGAGGAAAAGCTGCCTCCTGCTCTCCTCTCACTGCTCCCAGCCAAAACCACGGGGCTTTGTGCCACACCAGCCTGGTAACTGCTTCCCCTGCAAACCCTGGGCCATGGATGAGATGTGAGGGTGAAGGGAAAGCCTGGCGCACTCCGAGGAAGCTTAGCCCACAAGGCCGAAGCTCCTGGGGAGTACGAGCTGCAGTTTGCTCAACACCGCAGATGTGTGCTGGCCCTGTGGCATGTGCCACCGTTGCCGTCCTGGCTGGCTGGCGGTGCTGCCCCACATCCCTGCAG